AAACGACAGGCAGAGACCTAACACATACTGGAAAGAAACCATAAGGAGGACATGGCACTCCAGGTAGCATGGTCACTGCAGGAGCAGTAGAGATGGAGAGACTTCTCATATTTGTGGGAAGAACATTCCAGATGCACTAAGTTCAAAGACCTAAAATGAGAGCTTGTTTAGCTCATAGTTTAGTTCATAGCACAGGAACTGGAGTGACACGTAGGGTGGATGGGAGCAGGTCATGCTGCTACCAAACTAAGGGGAGCATGGAACATGATGGATTAGTCAGGGCCTTTCGGAATGTTTTGAATAGGAAAGCGACCTGCTTCCAAAAGCAGTGCATCAACACTATGGAGAGCACATAGGGAGGCAGGTAAAAGCTGGGTGTAATCAAGAGGCTATCCTTAAGGTCTAAGTAGAGACTTCAGAAGCTGTGGAGACAGACCTTGGGATGACAGAGGAACTGTGCTGGGAGATGGAGGTGCTGTCATATTTTGAAGGTAGTGCTGACAACATTTGCTAGTGGATGGATTGGATGGAAGTGTAAGAGAAAGAAGAGAGTCAAAGATGATACAGAGGCAACTGAAAAACTGTGATTGCTATTAACTACACCAGGAAGATGACTGTGGGCAGGGAAGGAAGCACACAGGAAGGGGGAAGAGCTCGGTTTTGGCGTATTTAGGTTGAGGTGACATTAGACACCCCAGCAAAGATGTTAAACTGTCAGTGGGATGTCTGAATTCAGCACTCAAGAATGAAAGCCATGCTCTAAATGAATTTGAAAACTTTGATAGAGTGGACAGAGGCCATTGGGATGCACCTGGGCCATTAGTATAGATGGGAAGGTCGAGAAAAGGCTGGGAAAGAACCATCATATGTAGGAGGGAAGAAAATCAAGAAGTCATAACAGCCTAGGAGCCAAGCTCACGATTGTGGAGTGAGCATCATTGAATCGGTGAAAACGGTTCATTTTGCTCTGTCCTTTAAGCATCTCTGAAATTTCTCACTGAGCAATGAACACCTGTGTAACACACAGCCAACAGGCTGTTTATGTAAGTGCATTTGACCCTGTGCAGAGTGTGGTGACAGGCTCTGTGGAGATCAGAGCTTGTTGGATGGAGGCAAGGATGTGGAGGGAGCAAGAGCAGTGAGCTTTCTCAAGGCCTTTTATAGCCAACAGAATAGCGGAAGGAGCCAACAGCTAGAGGGAGATGGGGAATAAGGACAGGATGGCTAGCTGCAGACAGAGATTACAGTTCTATTTCTGGGCAATCTCCTTGGCAAAACTGTAAACTGCTGCCCACCCAGGAAGGCCTAGGTCACCCCTCTCAATTCCGCCCACAGAAGGTATCTCAGGCATTGCAGCTCCACCTACAAATGACACTGTCCTGAAACTTTGTAAGACTTTCATGGTGATATGTCCAAATAGTGTTTCTTCAGGACTCACCTTGATGTCTACCAGAGCAGGCTGTGCTTATACCAGACATCAAAGCCAAACAAAGATGTCCAGATGGAGGGAAACAGAACTTACATGGAAACTCTGTAGTTTCTTATTCCTTTAGATCCTGGAAGAAATTCAATAGTAGCAGCAAGAACAGACTCCTTTGCTTGCTGTTTGAAAACAAGGCTGGAGGCATGGACTTACCCAAAGGGAACCAGAATTTATTTTTATTTTATGCACATTGGTGATTTGACTGAGCGTATGTCTATGTGATCTCCTGGAACATGAGTTACAGGCAGTTGTGAGCTGCCATGTGGGTATTGGTTATTGAACCCAGGACCTCTGGAAGAGCAGTCAGTGCTCTTAACTACTGGGCCATTTCTACCTCTCCAGAAATGTTTATTGGTGACGGCAGGATTTTTTTGTTTTTAGATTTATTTAGATTTAGTGTTCTGCCTGCATGTATACCTGTACACCAGACGAGGGCACCAGATCTCATTACAGATGGTCACAAACCACCATGTGGTTGCTGGGAATTGAATTCAGGACCTCTGGAAGAATAGCCAGTGCTCTTAACTTCTGAGTCATCTCTCCAGCCCCCAGATTTATTTTTAAAACCAAAAAGTCCCAACAGTTACCAAAGGATTGCCCTGTGAAAACATGAGGAAATGGGTGATAGACAGGCTGAGCCTCCTACTTATGATACGGCAAGTTCAATGAAACTGCACTGAAAAATAACTAGGGCAAAATGATCACCTCCTCTTCGTCTCCCTGCTTGGGGACATGTTTGTCTCCAAAAGAGAGGACAGGGCACTACTGCCTACTCATAAGTCTCCCCGAGAGGTTCCTGTTTTCAGTGCAAAAGGCAAGAACAGACAAGGTCCTGCTGATGGGATTAAACAGGAGATGCCCCAGACATGGCTAGTCTACTGAACGTATGGGTCAGTGTTTCAGTTCCAAGGAGAGGACCAGAGTGACACATGAAGAATTTCCATACAGCTAAAGACAACAGCACAAAGGGACATTCAGATTCCACTACTGCTAAGCTCTGTGACCCAGTCACACCATTATGTCTATAGCCCAACGTCTGAAGGAGACAATAATGTATCACATGCAGGCCTCCTTCCAGACATCTGTATTAGGGTGGATACCTTGATCCTGAGATGAAGGGAAGCTGAGGCTCCTGGGCTCAGCCCAGCAATGGAGCACTTGTGGACACAGAGGGTGTACCATTGTTTTCAAACTTAGATGGCACAGGCTGGAGCCACATCGCACAGGGCTTTCCTGCAGTGCTAGGATGCTCTTAGTGGAACTTTAGAGGAGCAGCTTGAAGTTCTGAAAGATCACTCAGAGCTTGTGATCTAAAGAAAAATAGACTGTGTACCAAATTTGTAACTGAAAAACCCATGACTGCCTGTTGGTCTACTCCAGCAGCTGTAGTCCTGACAGCCGCATATCAGATACTTAATTACAATTCACAACAGTGGCAAAAATAGTTACGAGTAGCAATAAGATAATTTTATGGTTGAGGGTTACCACAACATGAGGAAATGTGTTAAAGGGTCACAGTACTAGAAAGGTTGGGAACCACGTTCTAGTCAAAGCTAAATTCTTTTTTTCTTTGTTGTGTTTGGTCAAACTAAGTTCTGTCCCTTACATAGCTGCGTTTCAGGGCTAGAGAAATGGCGCAGAGGTTAAGAGTTGTTCACAATTGCCTGTAACTCTAACTCCAGGGGGATCTTACACCTCTGGCCTCCTCAGGCATCCAAACTCACAACATACATACTCTAACCCATGCATATAATATAAAATACATTAGGAAAAATACTGACAAGTTACATTCTACTTGTTTTTTGTTTTTTTTTAAACATACAGGTAATTCCAGTTTTTACCTATGTGCATTTTGCATGAGGGTACAATAGAATCACTCATATGAACAACCATTGTCATGTCCAAATATGACCTTCAGCTGTATAACCAAGAACCGCTGCTCTTCGGAGGGTCTCCATGTCCAACGCCTGGGTTACAAGCTGTCTGGTAGATTACCAACCCAAGTGTTTTACTTAGGGTTTCTATTGCGGTGATAAAACACGGTAACAACAACAAAAAACAAAAACTTGGAGAACAAAGAACTTACTTTATTTCATAGCTTACAGTCCCTCAGCCAAGGTTAGGGCAGGAACTCAAGACAGGAATATGGAGGCAGGAACAGAAGCAGAAACCATGGAGGAGGAAGAGTGCTTCTTACTGGATTGCTCCCTGTGAGTTGCTCAGCCTACTTTCTTGTATCATCATGGCCACTTGCCCAAGGGTGGCACTGTCCAAGATGTGCTGGGTCCTCCCACACCATTCATCAATTAAAGAAATACCCCACAGGCTTGCCCACAGCCAATTTGGTAAAGATATTGTCTCTATTGAGGTTCTATATTCTCTAACGACTCTAGTCTGTGTCAACTTGACCTAAAACTCGTCAGCACAATTTGCCAAGACAGGAATCTTGCTAGCCTAGGGTGAGACACAGGTACAATAAAAAAAGTGTCCCTTGTACAGGCCTATATTTTCTTACAAAGTAAGTACTTTTCAGGATTGAGATTCTTTTTATGGTACCAAATGATGGCCACAAAATTTTGAAAAATGCCTTTCCACACACAAAAAAAGCTGGCAAGTCCATGTATCCACGCACATTCAGAAATGTGAAATCTGGAAGTCCACTGGCCCTCACTTTATTCTCTTACTATGTACAATGGTCATCTGCTATCAGGGGAGCGGGGAGAGAGGGACATTAGAGTTAAACCAAGGCTGATAATAACCCAGCAGAGTGGGAAAGCTGACAGCTAACTGCCACAACCGAGAAAATGATGGGCTGGCACTTAATCACCATGCTTCCTAATTACAGCTGTAAAGCGAACATCTGAAATATTATACTTCACATTTACTCTCCTGCTGTCAATTCCATCTTCTTCACAAGGCGAGAGGTCAACAGCAGTAAAAATTCAATTGGGCATACTAAGACATTGCACACCCAGACGTGAAGAAACACTTAGGCAACAACTCTACTGGAGAACCAAGACCTGCGTGGGTCTCAGCTCAAAACTCAGGCCTACATTCTGTATCTAGGAAGGGCACCTACCCAGCACACTCTTAGGTTAGTTGTAACCATGAAGTCACAGGCATATGGCTGTAAGGGTGAAAACGGACTCCCACAGTCCTGACTTCACATAGAATCATAGTTGGACTGAAAAATTTCCTTTTGATCAGGCCTAACCTTAACATTTTTATGAATGGAAAAAGGAGGGGAGGGGAGAGAGAACACAATCCAGTAGGAGGCTCAGCCTAGATGTCTTTCTTTTTAAATTTAAATTATTTTATTTATTTATATTCGAGTTGTTCTGGATCCAGCCTAGGGCTTTTTTTTTTTTTTCATCATAGGAGTTTACCGTTTGGTTTCCAATTTTCAAGATTTTATTTTATTGGCCTGAAGAAACTATATACAATGCTCAAAATGGTGGTATGTTTAAAGACAGCAAAATCCCACATTTTAAAAAACACACACAGTCATTACAAGCAATTGATGGTTCATTATCTAGGACATTTACTCTAAACAAAATCCACAAAAAATAATGCAAGAGGATGTTTATTTGGAAGAGTGTTGAGATGGGGTGATGTACAGAAATAGATAAAGTACCTCCACCCTAGATGTCAGAAGGAAAGGCTTCACACAACATTGCAATGTTCATCAAGTTTCCAAGTTTTTAGATGAATCTCTAGTATGTAACTAGCCAGATGAAGCATCCCTAGGAGGAGCAGAGGACAGCAAGAGCCAGCACAGCAGAAGGGACACCAAATCATTGTCAGTGAAACAGGAAATTCACACTGTTATTTTACATCAGTAGTTTTATTACAATACACACTGACACAATTAGAGAAGGAATGTTCTGGCATTTCTGAGCATTTCATGGAAAGCAAAGTAACCATCTAGGCAGTAGTCATCCATATTTTTTTTTCCAAACAAAAAGCAAGCCTTTACATGCGATAACTCAGGGAAACAGTCTTCTTATTCTTGTCCAGAAAGTATCAGCTAAAGAAAACAGCTGTTGTAATATGAGCCAGAGGGAAATTTTCCTTCAAGATGTCCAAATCCTACCTTTCATCCAGCAGCCTAAATGATTGTTAGGATACTTCATGGGTGGTGTGTCTGGGGACTACATGGGGTCTGCTTTTAAGGCCAATGATTATGTCACCACAATTGAAAGGAAAGAATAAGTTGAAAAAGTAAGTCCTATATAATGCTCTTTTCACAAAATTCATTTGAAAAGTTAAAGTTACCACAAATATTTTAATTCTATCAGAGATCATTGGCAAAAGCATGTTACTGTATCTTCAAAAGGGCTCTGCTTTTGCACCAGCTTGGGAGCAGACCAACTATGGTGAAAAGATTCAGTGACCCTGGGGAGCAGGCATTAGATTGTCTAGAGTCCATGATACCATGACAATAGACATGACACCATGTAATAGACAGAAAGAATCTTGATATTTTCCCCTCAATAATCCTGTAGCAGTCAGGTGTTTAAACCCCTTCAGTGCCCAAATGTACAAAAGCAATCTAGGAAAAAAATTAATATGGCATTTTGAATAAATTTGCTAACACATTACATAACTTGGGAACAGCAGAGGCATAAGCCTAAGCACAGTCCTAGTATTCCATACAGAAAAGCACTGCAGATGTAAAGTTTGTTTAAAAACATTAAAACTCAGATTGATATAAATACAGTTTTGGTTAATCTGTGCTATGTCAAATAAAAATTCCATCAGACCCTCAGCCTGTTAGGTAACGCATTCGGGTTTTCATTTCTGGCTGTATCAGTACAAGAATATACACTGTTGCATATACTTTCAGATATGCTTATACATATATAAAATACAGATCATGAACATTTGTTTTAAATACGTATACTTAAAACCCGTGTCTCTAAAAATAAATACATTAAGTAAGCTGCTTGCTAGTAGCTAATTCTAAATTCTCTCACAAGCCAATCAGAAAAGGTTTTACAACGGCAGCTGCCTTTTAAACCTACTGTCTAGAGTAAACACTCAAGTGCAGCCTCAGAGAGAAATCCCATCTCCGAGCACAGGTGCAGCTGTGGCAATGGGAGCACCATCTTCACATCCTCTGTGATCCATCTCTGCAACGCCTCTGTATGTGTCCAGTGCGGGGCCAGCTTTTCCTAGAGACAGCACTGTGTTCAGTTGACATTACCTTCTAGGCAAAGCTGCCACTCCGTCTGATGCACTGCTTGAGGGAAGTAACACAACAGCGGTTGTGTTTGCTGCTGCTCCCAGAGATCACAGTGAGTAGGTAAAGCAGAAAGAGCCCTGCTGTCTGAAAGAAACAATGTCCCCCCGACAGCAGCACATAAAGGACCTGGGGCTCTAAACGTAAGTGCCACAAAGGAACTCAAAACCACTGCCAGGATGGGAACCCCAGACATCTGACACCCGTGGTTCAAACAACAGACACAGTACAATGCCCCAAATAGTTTCTAAAGAAAGGATACAACTCACAAGAAAATGGAGCTACATTACTGTTTTACACCCCACCCTTACAGAAAACAAAAACAGAAAAACTTCTTAAAATGGTATCGCCAGACCAAACTGTTTAATGTACATAATACTTGACCTTGTCATTGCTCAGAATATAAAAAATTCAGAAATATAAGAAATCCATGATAAGTTAGTGAGAATTTCTAATGCCACTGCCCACATTTTAAAGAGAAAAACTTAAAATCCAACTTTTAAAAAACGCAATATGCTTACAGCTTCAGATTGCTAGTTATGAATCAAATGTAAAGGTGTCTGTTCACATACAAACAAGGCCTCTATTTCATTAACTTCAATCTGATTTAAACCTTTGGATATTTCAATCTGTAGACTCCACAGGGTAAGGCTGAATTTATCAGGTATAAATAAAATATTTAGGTCCATGATGTACTGTAGTTCCGAGAAAACAAATGTACCAAATATATACAGGCTGACCATGTCTTCCCTTAAAACACATGTGCCAGGTACCAAGCCACAATGTCTATTTTAATTTCTCTGATTGAGAAAATGAGACAACAGCATTCTTCTTCCTCTCAGAGGCAGGGACTAGGTTGGTCGGTGCAGTCTTTTGGGCGGTGGGGGTGGCATGAGCTCTGTGTCAGGGTCCAGGGGATACTTTCTCTTCTGTCCCTGGGCAGCTGCTGCACATCTGTCAATGAACTCAAACAGCATCTCCTTGGTGACAGGGTTTGAGATGCTATTGCACACAGCTGTGGACAAAGGAGGATAACATCTCAGGTGATTATGGCGATGACTCACTATGGCCTGAGGATGGTCTTCATGCAGCTCTCTCTGTGAAATCATGGCATTTCATGATGGGCAAACAGGCCTCAGGTTAGGTGCTTTTTTAGTGGTTACTCTTTGCTGGAGTAATTTTAATTTTAAGCAAAGATCTTAAGGAATTTTAGTCTAGTAAAACATACTTCATGAAAATCCATATTTAACTAAAACTTCTATGCAGCAAAGTATACTACAGTTTTTAAGTAATTCTCTCAGAAAGATGTCCATTCTGTGAAATACAACAGTAATAGCCAATGCCACTAGGGAATAGGAAGTTTTCATGGAAGTTTCCATTCATATTGTTATTTTTATCATTTAGTTGAAAAATATATAATAAAATAGCCTAATAAGCAAAACATCTTTTCTTGAGTAATCGAAAAATAGAACCAACACTTATCATTTTATGATGGTTTGTTTGTTTTGTTTGTTTGTTTGGGAAAGAGGGAGAAGACAATGGAATGAACACATCTTGTCTGAGCATAGATGCTACTTCCAAAAACAAGCCCCTGAATATGAAACAGTATCTTTTAATATGAAAAAGGTGAACTGGCTAACTCTCTCCCCTTCCTGCTTCTCAGGATCATGATCAGCCCCAGCAATGGAACACTGGACAAGTGAACCGTCATCCACTGCACCTTACCTACCTTTTTATAAAACACCTCTACTATCAGTATATCTTATGCACTGAAATGAGTTTGTAGTGTTCTTCAAGAAAATAATGATCTATTCTAAATCCCCAAGACAATCATATTACAGCCAAAGTACATTCTGAAGGATAGCAGGGCAGTTTTTATGTTTTAAATGGTTTTCATTTACTTTCTCTCCATTGTTTGTAAAGTTATTTTAGGAGCTAGAAATTACATTTTTCCCTTGCTAATTCTGTTTCTTACCATCTGGCAAACAATTGTTTTAATAGTTTTGAATAGATCAGAAATTATCATGGCTTTTTTTTTTTTTTTAACCATTCATTAAGTTAAGCTAGTATGCAACCATCCCCCTGTGCTCTTTTGCCCTTTCAGGCACACAGGGCAGCTCCCCAGCAGCTAAGAAAGTGCAGGCCTGACTACCTATCCCACCAATCAGAACAGCATCAACAGGATATGTGGGCTTTGATGGCATAATTTTCTGTAATTTCCAGTACTGGCCACTCTCATACTCACCCATGGCTGTGTTGTAGGCATTTGGGAAACTTTTGTCTATTCTCTGTCTCATGAAGACCCAGCTGTTGTTCTCAAATTTGCATTCTATAATTTTGTTGTCGTACTGTTTTAGTTCTTTTGTCACCTGTTTTAAAAGAGAATTGATGAAAATATTTTAAATAATTTGAAAGGCTTTTTGCTTCTACTATGTGACAGACACATTAGGAAATGCCAAAAACACCTCAGTAATTCTTCAAGTAGAGCTCTTTGTCATCTGAAGTGTCTAATCAAGCCTGAAGATATGGTGCACACTCCCAGTACACATGCTCATGGATCTGACAGTTCAGAGTTGTGAAAATGGCTGTCAATATATAGCAATTAAAAGAAGCTAAGCAGAAAACAGCCACTTCTGGGCCAAATGCAAATATGTTACCATGGGGACAAAGCCTTCACTCCTGTCTGTGTTTCTGTGGCTTTCAGACAATGAGTGCACTGCTTAGGGCTCACCAACTTTCAGAAAGATCTCACCATGTAGATTCCTATGCCATCCACCCCCACCCCCCAAATTATTATAGGTAAAAGGGCTGCATAAAAAATAAATACTAGGATCAAATTAGGCACATTTTAAATCCAAACTTATGCCTCAGGCTATTTTCCCTTTTCATCCTTCCAAAGAGTATGGATTTAGAAAGGAAACTACTTTGACTTTAGCTGGTGTGTTTCTTGGCTTCTTTTACCTCAGATGATTGAATATGGATTACAACATACTCTATCAAAGCCACCAAGTATCCATGGTAACTACGGTAAGTCTGAGAAGATAGTCCATCAGGCTAGGTTCATAAAAGGAACCTAAGCTTATCTCTGCACTTTTCCAATCAAATGCCAGTCATGGTAATATTTGAATTCTGTCTTCATCCTTCAGAACTAACAACACTCTCTCTCTTACAATATGGTAGATTGTAATCATAAACTTCATTAGCATTATTTAAAATGCTCTCATTTTCTGCCCACATATTCACTACCACCTAGGAAGATGAAGGGATGCAAATTTTTTAGAGCTGCTTTCAATTCAGATCAGTCAGGTTGTGTCTTCATAAAAACTTTCAAATTGTTTTCCCTCTAGATGAATATTGCATTTGATTGGATGGATCGTTTGCATTTTCAACAGGTCTAATAATTGGTCCAAAAACAGGTCTAACAGGCCCAGGCTCTGTAAACTTAAACCCTCCCCCCACTTTACAAACTTGATGCTCTGTTCAGCAACCTAGCCAACGTGTCCTCGGATGACCCTTCACACCCCTGACTTCAGGAGTCCATGTCCTTCTGACTCATCACTCATGTGGAGGCGCTAGACAACACATTCAACCTAGGCAACCAGCTTTGGGTTATGCCAAGTAGAAGTTGTTCAACAGAAGGAAGTCTCCAAACCTTTCAAAGTCTTCATTTTCTAATCTCTAAAAGCATCAAAGGCCTTTTTAATATACTGTAGGACTTTCGGGTCTCGGTTTGAATTTAAGATTAAAAGGACACATCCTGGGAGGGGCACATTCTATTTCTTAGTCAGAAGACACTTGCTAGATTAACATTCACAGGAAAAAGGGAGAGGTAGATTAACATTCCTCAGACCACAGGGGAGGGAACCCACCTGCAGGTGAGAAAGGCCCAGAGCACACAGACACATTCCAGGAATAGGAAGCTGGGCCCTTAACGTAATAAACCTGGGCAAACAGAAGACATCCCTTGTCATAATCTGAGTCACCCAGAGACCAGACCTGGAAAGGTCAGACTTTGTGGTTTTCCCTCGTGAACTCTGTATAAATACTGTTCCCAGCTTTTGTTCAGGGCTTTCTTGCCTGCATGCAAGAGAGTCCTAGTGCACTAGTCTCCTTAAACCTCATGTTATTGCAGCGAATGTGTCTCTGTGGGAGTGCGTCCCCTGGTTTTGGATCTTAGAGTCCAACAATACTAGGTTATGGGAAGAAAGTGCCTGAGACAGAGTAGGAAATTTATAAATGTGTAATTAAATAGGAAAAAAACCCACCAAAAAACAAAAGTCCTGTCTTCAGCATTTTAGGGCACAGTTTAGCAGTATTAGGCATACTCACTGTTGTACAGCAAACCTTCCTGATGTTCGTAGTTTGCAATCCTATAATTTCACATCTCCTGCACACCTAGATCTTCCTGTTTTCTGTTTATGATTTTTACTTTATACATTTCAGATGAGTAGAATCACACAATATTTATCCTTCTAAAGCAATTTATTTTGCTTTAGCATAACATCTTCGGGGTTCATTCATATGTGACAAAGTTCCCTTTTATGTTACATAATATTCCATTATATTTTTTCAACCATTCATCTGTTATAGACTTTTTTTTGCTACATCTTTGCTATTGTGACTAATGCTGTAAGAAAATAGGGGTATAAATATTACTTGGAGATCCTGTTTTAAATTCTTTCGGGTATATATGCAGAAGTGAGACTGCTAGATCATACAGCAGTTGAATTTTTAATTTTCCAAACAACTTCCATACTATTCTCCAGAATGGTTAACCATACCACATCCCTAACAGTGCATCCTTTATTTCTGGCTATGTTGACAGGTGCCAGATGTCATGACACTAAGGTTTATTGGTTGTGCATGCTTATTGGTTGTACGCCTTTCCTGGAAAATATATATTTTAATTCCTTTGCCTTTTATGGGATAGGTATTGAAAGAGGATCCCATTTTGTGGCCCAAGTTGGCCTTGAACTTCTGATATCTGCCTCAGTCTCAAACTTGTGATCTGCCTTAGCCAAGCACCAGATCACAAACTTTTATCACATATCCAGCTAGTTTTGCCTACTTTAAAAAATTTCCATTAATATACATTAACTATATAAAAAAATAATGTATTTCAGCCAGAGGTTTTCATTTTGTGCATAAGACATATCTAACCACAGTTACTCTCCCATTCTCTTCCCTGTCTTCCTAGTGGACCAGAGAGCAAGAGATCTTAACAGACACCCTTTTACTTTGATATCTTTCCCCACTGGAGTGCACACACAAAATCCTTGTCATGCTTGCCTCCACTCCACAATCTATACATCATGGTTTTGTCTATTCACCCGCATATACATGCACACATACACACATACACTCATAGGAACTATTTGTTATTTTAACAGGAGATATATAATACAGCACAATTGAAAGAATAAAAATTGAATAGATATTAACATTTAGATGACAAAATATTTTACTTATTTTGTATTCTTTGTGTTTATTTTTGAAAGTGGGTGCCTATGTTTTAATTGGGGATTTGATATTGCTGAATTTTATGTCTGGGCATTAACCCTCATCAGACAATGATTTGTAAATTTTTCTTCCACTTTATAAGCCACCTTTCTGCTTTGATGATAGGCAGAGTTTTTAAGGTCAACGTCCTTGTTTATTCCTTGTTTTGCTGACTGTAACTCCAGTGTCATTCACTGAGTTATTGCCAGTTTTCTTTCTAAAGTGTTTCTAATTTTGTTTGTGTTTTCTTTTTAATCCTCTGAGGCTCAACAGTTTCAGGTCTTATGCTGCAGTTTTTAAACTATTTTGGAGTTAATTTCTTATATAGCATAGGGGCAAGTTCCATCATCTTTCCCTACTGTGCAATCTTGCTACCTTTGTGCAGTATCTTGTCAAGGACTTATTTCTAGGCTCTCTATTGCACTGCCTGCTCTAGTTGTTTTCAAGATGTACACACACACACACACACACACACACACACGGAAAATGTTATCAGAATATCCATCCATATATATACATACATATATATATCTCCATATATATGTGTGTGTGTGTGTGTGTGTGTGTGTGTGTATCAGCACGTCCCCAAATTCATGATTTTCCAATCTTAATTTTCCATGCACTGAGATCACAGGTATATGCTACTGAATCTGTCTTGGAGGGGGGGGGTGGCAGAGGGAGGGGGGACGGCGGCTAGTTTCTGTGATCTACTTGTCTGTGTCATCAATGAAACATACTATTTAAAGCACTGTTGCTTTGCAATAGAAGCCAGGGGTGTGAGGCCTGCAACTTTGCTATGTGTCAGCTATTTGGAATTCCTTAAGAATCCATGTGAATTCTAGCACAGCTTTTCTACTTCTGCAAAAGACACTGTTAGGATTTTGTTACGTTTACACAGCATCTCAAGACTGCTGTTAAATTCTATGGATATTCTGATAACATTGTCTGCTGATCCATGACTACTCAAAAGCTTTCCATTCATTTGTATTTTCTTTTATTCCTTTTAACAAGAAACACTGCATATTTTTTTAAGCAACTTTACAAGTAAACTCACTAAAGGAATCATGCTGACATCAAAAGGTGCACTCTGAAAACAGCTGTCAACAAAATTACATCTTTGGCATTTTAGAAGAATGCTGACGAGCAAGCTAGTTACTGGCTAGCAACTAGAAGTTAAGTATCATAAAGCTTATCACTCTTGTGTTCTAAATTTCAGAGTTAAGCAGTATTGCTATCTATCTGCTATAGCTGCTTGCCCAAATATTACCAATCTGGAAAAATGTTTCCAGAAAATGAATGTACCAGCCACTACTACTTTAAATTCATGACCATATTCAACAAGAAACTGAGCTCTTCATTAGTTACATGTTACATTCCCACCACGGACAGGCTGCAAGATAATTATTTGATTGGGTGGTAAATACATTTGACTGGAAAAAAAATACCATCTTTCATATATGCACAAACTAAAGTTTTCACATAAAAAATTAGTGGGGTACAGAAGAGTGACTTAATTTTAGCATCCATATTCTTCTGAAGACAATTACATATCATTACTGACTGAAAGAGGACCCCTGTTGTCTTCTATGTCAACTTTGTTATCCTAGTTTGAGTTAATGAGCGCATAAACATTTATAAATTAGAATTTCACACTATACCCACTATTACCTTAAATTTATTTAATAATTTGAATAGGAGTACACTGTCAAATCACAAAGGCCATGCTAACTGTTGGCATCCTGCATAAAGTGGGTGAAACTACTTCTGATGTTAGAACAGACACCTGCAGATAGCTGCCCTGCTCGGCGGCCATATCAAGTGAGCGTCTTAGAGAGGAGCTTCAGTCTGCTCGGAAGACATTAAAAACAAA